ATAAAATAAAATCTCTTATTACTGTTCTTTCCCATAAACCAATTTTCCGCATGAGAGGATATATTTAATGATAATGATCGCTGTCAATCCGTGGCGATGAGTGGCACAATAGACGCTAATTGGAAACCGACTCTAATGCTAAATTTGGAGGTCAAACACCACTTTCAGACTTGGCTATCCGCATATTGCTGGACTGTGCTGCTTCTGCTGCAGATTTTTAGTGGACCATCTTGACAACAGAAGCATCTCGAATACCATGCTGTAAAAGTGTTCCCTTGAAACGTTCATTTCGAGACGACGGGGAGCATATTCCAGGCACTGAAACTAACCGGATTGCGGCCACTTCAAGAGAGTTTTGATGGAATCGTAGAGTCACAAAATTTGGCTTTCTAATTGGAATGCAAATACCAGTAATCAAATTTTTTAGATTTCTTGAAATTGTGAGCCCTTAATTGTCTGGATAACAGTTGTATTTCATGATCGGACGCGTGGAAGTTCAGTGGACTCAAATCTTAGTACTGAGTGAGATTGATTTCATTGTGCCCGTGGTGTTTGGTTTAGTAATATAGAAACCAACCTTGGAATACCGTTGTGTAGTTAGATTTGTTCTGTGGCTTGACCGTTGGGCCAGATGACGATATTAAAGCACACGAAAACCTGGACAGGCTCCAATTGGATTCCGCTTTCGAACGAGTGCTTTTATGGGATCTATGCTGTCAAAATAGCTTTGATTTTGGACATATGTGCTTCTCGATCGATTTATCTGACAATGTGGGTGGTGAGATTGAGGACTTCGTTTCATAGAGTGTACAGTTAGAAAGTAAGCTCTTAGAAAGGAGACAAGCAATTCAATAAAGTGCTCCTGAGAGATGCAAGGAATTGAAAATCTTTGGCAATTCTATTCGGGTCGGGGTGATGAAATACGACCTCGTGATCAACAGATCAATTGTACGGTTATTACTGTATCACTGTGGATTTCATTTGGGGAACTAAACGAAAATCAAAATTGGAGCATTGTGAATTGATTGAAAGTCATTGTAAACCAATTAGTGAAATACGAATGGAATAGGTTGATTGATTTTTATAAATTTATGAGAATATCATACCTGACCTTGATTGAATTACCATCCGGCCCCGAGCATTATCTGCTCTATTGGTATAATGTTACGTAAAGTATATATCATATTTTTTACACACGCCTGAGTTCAGGCTGTGCCAAATAAATCACGGTACAATAATCTTTATAAAAAGAAAACGGTCCATGATTTGCTCGAGGTTGCCTAGACCAAAGTAGGAGGAATCCACAACCGGAGCCTTCGGTTAGCCAATGCCTGACCCGCAAGGCAGCGGGGCGATGTGAGGAAAATCGCAATCTATTTGGGTCGGTGGCTATTTCAACGGAACATACGCCTTTCAATTCACTATAGTTCTCCATAGACCATTGATAAACTATGTTCATTTTTTCTTGAAGTGATAGCGAGCTACTGGGTTGTGTCGCTGCATTTCAAGTGTTGTCTGCAAACAGTATTGTTTTTGGCCCTAAAACATTCGGAAGCTCAATAATCAGTGCAAGAAAACGTCCAGTACTAAATACAGACCCTTGTAGAACACCGCGAGTAATGCCGATAGAACCGGACAAGCATTTAGAAACAAACTGATATGATCCACTATCGGAGAATGCTTTTAGCCAATCAAATAGCAAACCTCGAATGCAGTAATTGTAATTCTTCTGCAACAGTATTTGGTGGTTTACCGAATCAAATGCTTTAGCGAAGTCCAGGTGAATCACATCCACTGCATCCCTTTCGTCGAATGTTCTAGTCCATTCATTTTGAACAAGGAATAAGTTGTGGGAAAAGGATCCCGAATCCATTTTGGGCTATAAATGAAAACTTCTTTAGCAAACATTTTTCACTTCGCAAGCAAATTTTGGTGAGTAGGAACTCAGTAAGTTTTTATATCAATAAACAATAAAGCGCTGAAAATGTCTGTGATAACCGATATTTGAATGCATTCAAACAGCGGGGAATTAATGACCTCTCAAGGATTGAAACCCACATCCACCATCATCAACACTACCTGGTGCCTGTTAAAAACCGAATGGGATAATCCGAACATTCACAATCTAAAAAATAGACAATATTGTTGATAAAAAAAATTGAATGCAAGAGGGATAGTTGAATCTCATTTTTACTCAATAACCATTGGTATAATCTATTCTTGAACATGTAACTAAACGTGTTCACTGGTTTCACTTTACTCTCCCTTTTAACTGAACAGGCAAATCGTTTTAAAATCAAGCCGCATCAATTTATTCCCCAATCCAATCACCATTCCCGCCTTCAGTTCACGTAATTTATCTGTTCCCTCGATTAACCGATTCCCTCATACCTTCGGAAGCTCAGGTCTTGTTGGCAATGATAGTTTCATCACTGTACACGTAATTTTTCTCGTTTTCTCACACTCACATGCAACATACACTTGTCACGTGACTTGGGGTCTTCCTCTACCCCTAATTCAATGTGTAACAAACAAAGGTTTGACCATCTATGGTGTTTTCTCACACATTAAACACACACGTAAATGAATTCGGACCAATTTACTCACAAAACCTGTCAGCGCACAGTATGAAATCCATTCGATTGTAATAAGAAAAGTCTTGTGTCGATTCCGTTTTCACATTCACTTCACATGATTGCTCACCTGAGACTTCCGGGTCCGAAACAGTCCAGTTGGTAGTAACCGCATGAAGCGCTCCATTCGAGACCGTCAAGCGGCGGCGGGGGGGCGGGGGAATGGCTTAAGATTTTCTCTCTTCTTTTCCGCTCCCGTGGATTATGTCACAAAGATTGTCATGCTGAGACTCAATCAATCTCTCGCTCGCTCGCTCGCTCTCATTTTGCCTTTCTGTCACGAACGTCTGATTAATCTCACCTCGAATGAGAATGGCCTTTCGTTTTCAATTTTGCTTTATAGTGAGTTAATTCGGTAGACTCCGGTAAATTCTAAGGAGAACATGTCGGAGCATTCAGCTTACATGCTAACTGGTGGATGCCATATGCCTCTGTAAGTTGAATGGGTAATTCGAACGTGACAAAATCAGTGCTCCTTATGGTGTGGTCTCGTAGCTCAGCTAGTAGAGCGTGCGTTGTACAGAAACGCAGGTGGCGTCCATGCGTGGGTTCAAAACCCACCGAGGCTACTAGTCCATTCACAATCTGGACACAAAAACACAACTGATTGAGGGTGACAAAGAAATAATACGAATTTGTCGGAAACCATTTTCATGATCCTTAGACTCCAACTACTACTGAAAATTCATTGTGGGGAAAAGAAATACAGTGATGTGTTTGTCCTCCACAAACACTATCCCGTTTATCATTTGCTTCGGCAGTTCCCAATTGACCCACAGTCTCCTTTCCGAGAATTAACCTGAATAAGTAGAAAAAACATTTGCCAAAAGGGATTATCGTAAAGCCATAGCTGAGAATTGTTTGAGCAAAGATCTGATGACAACATCCTTATTCTTTCGGAATTTGTGTTGACAAGCTTAAGTCGATTATCAAACCGACAGCATCTAGTCCCATAGCTAATTGCATTGAAAATGAGGTGAGTGCAAGACTTTCCTCGACTTGTGTAACGGACATCAGATCAGTGTATGAAATATCCGGATAAAAGATGGCTGGAAAACACGGTAGTCGATAGCTTGAGACTTTATAAATTGAAGGATTTAAATACGAGTGTTTAGGCAATATCTTGATAGCACTCAGCTGTGAAAAGATTTCCAACATCATGAACGGACGAATAGGTCACTTGAGAACAGCAAAAGCGTTGTTGTTATGGTTTCTTCAAGATCAACGTCTTGAATGGCTTAGTTGTGTTCTCGAATAGCTAGGTAGTCAACTTCTGAAAATCAGATATCACCTAGTTGACTCTGCATGGAAAGACGCTACTGCGGCCAGTCGGTCGGTCAGACAAAGATGCGGATTACCACTATCGGGATCAATATAAATGATTGATGTAAATCTACAGTCGCCTAACAACTTACAACCGCGTATCTTTTTTAATTGATCGATAAACGTGGACAGGTACTAACAAAGATATTGTTAGAGCAAGGATAAAATCGGGTGCAAGACCACTGATTGTGCCCATATGATCCAATCACGGACACACTCATGAAAATATGCTCATGATATTTCGCACCTCCTGTTCTCCCCGTCACCCAACCCACTATTACAAATTAGAAGAATGCCTGCCTCAGACATATGTATTCAACTAAACAACTAACAGAACATTTTGAGGGTAAACTGCAAACTCGTGCAGAAAAACATTGCAATGTTCATTCCTAATTGAGGAGAATTCTTTTCCGAAATAATAAAATTAGTGGGCTATTTTTGTCATAAGAATTTAGAGTTATTATCTAAAATGTTCTTCCATACTGAGAGAAAGGAACAGAATAGACTATGTTCAGTCACCAATCTTCTTGATGTGAAAAAGTAGAATGGAGCAAGAGAAAAGATGTCCGACGTATATATTGATTACCGACTCGAATCAACTACAGCAAACTGGTATTATCAAGCCACTATCCAGAGATAGGAATAAAATTTCATCAGTTCTTATTCAACAACATGATGAATTACAGAATTTGAACCTCATTTGCAGCTCGGAGAGTAGATTTGAGACGAACAAGTTTCGAGGAATCATTGTGATGATTGTGTATCAGATATTGTTGCATAATTGACATCGAAAGTTCAAATATAAGAATGACCACACAGAAGATTACCAAATACGCATACCTGACGAGCGGTAAGGACCGCGAAACCGGTCGTATGCTTCTGGGAAATTTTCTTCACTCATCTATATACTGTTCATTATAAATACAATGAATGCTTAGGGTTTTCGCGTTATGCATCAATATATATTTCTGATCTAGTAGTTCTTGTTTAAGAGAAATTTCCCCATCGTTCATTTCAATACTTCAGTGTGTCGATCGGTTGTGCATGAACACGAGGCATCTACAGGAGGAGTGGAACAAGAACGCATCTGTGACTCAATCGAACCTGGATGACCAAGGAGGAGAGACGAAGAAGTGGCTTGTAGATGGTGTTCGCACTCAAATCCTTCTACACGAATTTGCAACGATTGCACGAGATATGAACGCCAGTTTCCTAGAACGAACTGCTGATTTGATGAAAGAAAAACTTCAGGTGAATTAGCAATGTGATCAACTTTGAAGTCTTTTGAAACGCTTTAACGCTCATCACAGATGGTAGAGTTCAACATGATTAGCATGGTAATTGATCGTTTGTGGGAGATTCCGATCGTTTCACTTTGATCGTTTCATTGTGGGTGACACTACTTCGATACTTTGTCAGTAGTCAAAAGCTACATGATGTAATTGACTGTTTTCATCTATCCGACCCTTTCACTCTGTAGTCTGGGATTGAGATCCATTTGGAACGCCTTAGCTCAGCATTGCGAGATAAGACCGTGCAACTTTGTCCGAATCAGAAGGAGGTTTGCGCGTCGGTTGCAGAGAATCGATTGGACAACTTGCAAGAACCACTTGCCTCCGAACTGTCTGACATGATCATGACCACACTGATGCCGGAGCTAGAAGCAAAAGTAAGTGCTATCTCCCNCCCCCCCCCCCCACTTCTCCCAAGGCATGTTTTCGTTTGGACTACCGAAACCAAAAGGATGGTAGAGAAATTTACCAACTGGTCTTAATGGTATCTCAGCATACGGGACACAGAGTGGACAGGTCTTGGTAGATTGAAAAGTAACGGTTCTGGGGAGATGAATACGAAAAGCTCACAAATGAATGTGAACAAAAACCTGTCTGGGCATAACTCTGACAATCGGTTCCGTATTTCCTGGTGGTCCTTCAAATAAAAAATAGTTAAAAACAGAAACAGGTGAAAAATAACAGAAGTGGGAATATTACGAGGGCTGAGCAAAATGTTTCCGCACACGCAGTAGACGTGTACATGGTCCAGAGGACCAAGCAAGCACAACATGGCGTGAATATTGTTCAATGATTGCAATGATCACTGAACCGAATATCAACCCAGCCGAACACAGCTCACAAGTCATACGAGGGTCGCTATATTCGGACTGTACGGATGGAACACGGTCGATGTCATTGGAGGGTGATGATTTTCTACAACGACACACGTGATTTAAAGCGAATGATACGTGGAATCCAATACGAGTCACCGAGAGCTGCAGGAAAGGACTTCATTGAACTGCTCAAAAGATTGGCATGATCGGGCTTCTGCAACAAATGGTTTGAACGCATGGAACCGTATGGATGAACCCTGGTGGAGAATTCTTCCAGAAAATGTAATAATTATTTTTGTGTAACAAATAAAACGTTATGCTTAACCCTCGTTAATCCGGTTAGTAGATACGTTTGCCGTACATGAACTATAGAACGGACATGGAGAGAAAACCGGATGGATTATCAACATTATCTTCTAGCCATTAGTACTTAAAAGTGCAATTTCATATCGGTCAGTCCACAGATTGTATTGGTGGTTTAGAATTTTGATTCTATTTGTTCATCCTCCTGGTGATGACCTTTGAACAAACTAACACGCATCGTATCTTACAGATGATGCATGGGGCCTTTTTTGTTGTCTTTTACCAATCGTTAAGTTAGAGAAACAGGCTGTATCCCGTTTATTACCAGTATCGTTATACTTATTCCTACCCTTCAACTCCTTGATTCCCCGCTCTCTCAGCTGAATGACATGTCCGCCGAACTTACCACGGCCATGTTCGATGCAATCGCGGGAGATGTGATTGATGGATTGGATCAATCGCACAGAAGATTGCTTGAAAAGTTTAAATCAAAATATAATATGAACAGCCCAGATTTGAGGAAACCAATTCGGACCAGATGGATGGAAGTAAGCATGGCTGCGTGTGCTGACTACCGTGATCGTGTCTAATTGTAGCTCAGTATTTGCTTCTTCTACTGATGAGTAGCAAGGTTCAACATTTACAATTTAATGAATTCAGGTTCATGAGGTATAATGAGATCGTTGCTTTTCTTCTATTGAAAGTTCGCTTCTAAAGTACGCCTTTCCGTTGATGGTCCCGAAGGTTTTATTTTACGCTGACATTCCGTTTGTTTAGAAATAAATTAGTGATTTAAGTGTTTTTTACTCTCTTAACTTTTAAGATTGATAATACATACAGACGGATGCACGTTAACCCAGGTTTGATAATGCAACGGGTAAAGCCAAATGCAGGTTGATTTCTGTTTCACCCCACAGGCACGTGTATCTGAAGATGGACCACCACGATCCTATCCAATAGCGAATTATTTGATGCAAGTTGCCACCGGGAAGTCTCACTCTATTCCACTCACCTCGGGAACAAATGTGACTGATTTGCTTCGATTCCGTGGTTTGGAAGAGATGAAGCTGCATCCAGCTAGTACAAACAGTAACAGTAGCAATAACAACTTTGTCAGCACCAACAACACCACAAATAACATCAGTAACAATAACGCCCACAGTGAAAACACCAGCAGCAGCAGCAGCAGCAGCAGTAGTAGTACATTAGTCAACAATAAAAGCAAACCCAACGGTAACAGTATCGGCAGCAGAAGCAGCAGCAGCGGTAAAGACAGTAAAGACACCGACAACAAAAAGAACAACAATGCCAACACTGACAGAAGCATCGGAAGCAATGGCAGTACTGATACTGACAATGGTAAGCCAACTACACAACCGATAAATGATATACCAGGTCCAATGAAATCGATGATCCCCTTCAATCCAATCACCTCTACTCCCGTGCCAGACAACAAAAAAGGCCTGGGACGCTCAGTCTCCTTGTTTAGCAAAGAAAAATCATTGGAAGAGTATGAGGAAAGCTGGAAGAACAAAGATAAAGATCATCTCTATTCAGGATCTTTGAGGGATCGTTCAAGTCAAAGAATCACAGCGGATCCGAAACAAGTGAGTCATCGGCTTCTGTGGTGGCGGTGGTGATGCTTGTGGTGGTGGTGGGTTGTTTCGTACAATGAGGCCTGAACGAACACCACTTGATCATTACCAAATGCTTCAGCTATATCGGTGATAAATACTCCAAGTCAAATATCAGTTTGGTAGGAATGGTAAAAACGCACCATATCAAACGAAAAACCAGATCACGAAAACCGTTTATTATTCAGTGCTTCAATCAGTCAAACGTTTTTGATCTGCAACCATTTCATACCCCTAATCCATCCTGCAGATTGAACAAAAGAAACATTTTTTCGTATGGTCAAGACTTAGGAATCGTCATGATACAGCTGTCGTTCTTTTATACACCAATGTGGTGGATGTGTATTGCCAATCAGTTCTATACAAAATACAATTCAAAGCAAGCGCTGGGTGAACAGATGAATTGGCGATTGTGTGAAGAGTTGTGATGTTCAGCTAAAAGTAATTACACATATCCCACATTACTACTCACAAGTAGCTGTGCGTTAAAATGCACTTTTAATGTGAAACATACGGTTTAGTGATAAATTTGAGCGGGTAAATCTGAAAACAGACTGTGCTGCAGGAATTTTTCGCTTACGCTCGCATCGGTTACGTGTGTCATCAGCGCACTTACGCACTTCGGAATGTGTTCGGACATTGTAGTTTGCAATGATCATTCGGTCCTGTCAGTGTATAATCCGGTACAATTGAAGGCCTGTAAAATCAAAGGGAAGTAGATTTGACCGAGTGGCGATCTTTGGATAGAGGTTTGAGTAGACACGTGATCCAATGTAGATACAGCGTACCAAAATAACCGGCTATTTTTTAACTACAATGGCTGAACATATCATAATGTGGAATGTGGATCAAAGACTCAATCTACTCCGCAAAATGTGATAACCTTGGTCGTCTCAAGCTACTTGTTCGAGAGTGGCCACAGTGTAGACCCTATGAAAAAGTTCGTTGTTTTGTTGGGTTATCACGACAAGTATCGATTAAATATGCTCGAGGTATTATCAACTGCTCACAAAAGATCACCATGTGTGTCCATAAACTTATGACCTACCGCGTACGCGACCACAAATGTACCATAAAACTGGTCTGTATTTTTCAATCTTATTTAAAACAAATCATCTTTGATGAGATTCTACTTGTTTAACAAAGCATTTGGCACAATACTGAGTCTTGCTCATGCTAAATTTGATCGGGCAATTTCCTGTGAACTAAGTTGCAATCCACCTAACGCTACAAGTAAAATGCTTTTCGCTCCCGGATTCTCTTAGCCGTCAAGCGGCAGTGGAATAGTTTGATTTCCACGACCTTGATGTTGAAACTGCTGGGATGCGTATCACCAGGTCTTGTCTGCACCCTCGGGTCGTCAAACAAAACTGCATAATTTTGACAAAAAACGTGCATTCTAGTTAAACCATCACATGTGTTGAACCCATGCTGGCAAAACCGGCAAAAATCGATTATTTGAAGCTGGTTGGTAAAAATCCTTACAGCTAGCGCTATGGTGAATTGATGCGTAAAAAGGCACAATGAACAGGATAAAACCGTTACTCATACTCAGTAACCTGGGAGAATATGACCGCAAAGCCATCCTAAATTTGGAAAATTTAAATCCTATGTTGCCCAATTTTTGTTGAGCTACTGCAAGCATTTAAACAAGTTAGGTCTTTTTTAAATGGTTAAATTTAAACATTGTCATCCTATCAATTTGTGTGAGACAGACTGTCAACGAGCTCTTAAATTTGCCACAATTGCCTGAGCAAGACTATTGACGAAGATGGTTTGGCGATTGTCAATACGTCATTCACACATCAACTAGACGAACTGGTTAAGTGTTGTGCGCCAGACATCAGTTCAGCTTATGGGGAGAGGGTGAGATAAACAATCGTAAAAACAGGGTTTGAGTATGAGTTGCAGGAAAATGATAATTCAAGATAATGCTTGAAGCACGCGACTACGGGAACAATGTTTCTGAGCCAAAAATCGACAGCAAATCAGCAGGAGTCTGGTTCACATTCGTCTTATTCAGTAAACTCTGATTTGAAAAAATATTATTTTTTCATAAATGATGAAATGAAAGATTAAAATGGAAACAGACACACATCGTTATATTGACCCTAGTGCATGTGTTGATGCAAAGAAATCAATCGATATTCCTACTATGGACCCAATATATTTGTAGAGAAATAAAGCAGTTTGAACACAAATCCTAGTTACTGCATCAATGCAATGAAATTTGTCCTCCAACATCAAAAACCTACATTGATCCGAAAGATGATAAAACACCGAGCATGAGGATCACGTCGTCATTCTCGTTTCGGAAGCAATGTTTTCCCGTCACAAATTTGAATAGAGAAGTCAGAAACATGGGTTTGCACAATGTATCCATGGTCATTTCGCTGCATCTGTACACGTGCATACTGCAGTCAAAGTCATTTTATATAGTCAGTGAGATAACTACCGTGAAATGAAGACATGATTGCTAATCACAACGCACAACACACGACACAGTAACACAAAGAACGGGAGAGGGTGAAGGTAATCACCAAGGCAAAGCTAAAGTGACTAACCATTCACGTTGTTTGCATAGATCGGGTTTGAGGATACGAATGGCTAGAGCCTCGGCAAATTTCAGTAACTTTGTGTTTGTTGTGTTGTAGATGACCTGAAATGCGTGGGGTGGGGTGACACAATGTTTTTGTTCGAACAAATGCTGTGTTATCGAAGATCTTAGTCTTTTCTGCTCATTACATGACGTAACAGTTTTGAACTTGTCGTCCATCGCTTTCCTAAGCCACACCGGGATATGTTCGGCCACTCGGTGACGTAACTGCCTCTCTGTCCTGCCTATGCAGATGGCTGAGCATCCGCACTTGAATTGGTAAATACAGTTTGATTTGGCGGAGGGGGGCAATGGTTCTTTCACCGATGTCGACGGTATCCGGGTGGTAGTGAAGACAATGACCGGGTCAACTGCGTAGTAGACACGCTTGACGGCAGAGTTCAATCGCTTGCTGACTAATTCAATCCCGTCATCGCCTTTGAATGATAACTTCA